ATCAGAACACAGCAGCTGGGCCAGAATCTCTCCTAGCAACAGGTCTGATAGGTGCAATCTCGTGACAGTCAGATATGTGAATACTAGGCTAATAAATATTTTGCTGAACAGTGTCCAGTCATGGAATACATTTAACGGAAGTTAGAGGAAAACAAATTTATTCCTACAGAGCCAGAAAGGTAGGCTAAGTCCATGATACATTCACTTTATTTATTATCTACTGTATTTTAAGGTCCTAGGATGAAGTTATAAATTCAGTATATTGCAGGAACTTACATGGTTTGCAGATAATGTGGTCACTGGAGAGTGTTCCATACATTTAAAAAAACGATGTTCTGGCCTTAGCATAAGAAAGTTGGTTTCTAAGGTTTTCAAACTTCCAGGCACAAAAAAAAGACAAAAAAAAGTGTTTGTAGGGCCAAGGATATAGCTCAGCAGCACAAGTGCCTGCCTGGCAAGCGTAAGGTCCTGAGTTTGATTCCCAGTCCAAAAAAAAAATTAAAAAAAAAAAAGTAAAGTGTTTGGAAAGAAAACTATTATACTTTGAAGGCCATATTTGGCAAATACCTTTAATGTAATGTCCAGATTGATCCCTTTTAAGAAAAGAGCTCTTGGCCTGTATTACACATTTGAGTCAGAGGTCTCTGAAAATCAAGAGGGTGAACTATATTGGATTGTAAGATCAAGGTAGTCTTATGTGAAAGCTTTTATGTACTGTATGTACATTATTTCTAGCATGAAAACCTCAGTACTCTGGAAGAACAATTATTTTTTTCAATATAAAAGGGTTTGTCTAAATGGGTATCACCAGTGATCATGTCTTGCTATGCTTGGTGACTTGGTGGCCTTGTTTGCTATAGTTATCCCCACTGGTTCCAGAAGAACCCAGACACCCTTCCCTTTTCCCACAGTCAGGCCCATTCCCCTTCTCTTGGCTTCTTGCGCAGTCTCAGGAATCTTGTTTAAAGTGGTGGCCATTGGCCACTGGGCTTTGCAAATAGGATGTAAAGTTAGGTGTAGATGTAAAAGTTTCCAAGGGTAGTTGTTGATACTTTCTTTACAGTAGTTTATCTTTTAAGTGTTTGGTTATGGTTTAAAATTTTTATGCATGTTATAGGATGAGCAAAATTTAGACAAGGAAGTGGACTAACAGGGAAGTAGATGAGTATAGATGAAAGTCAAATTCGGCCAAAAGATGGTTTGTGTCTGACCCTGTCTTCCTGTACGCTGCCTCTGGCCTGAGGGCAGGGCTCAGGGGCTGTGTGGCATCCCAGATGACCCCATGAGGCTGTCACAGCACATGAATCAAGCCTCATCCTTGTAAATAAATAAACTGTCCATCTACCAGGCTCAAAGATTGTAAATTATGCAAAAAGCCACAAGAATAGAGGTCAGAAAATCAGGCAAGACTAAGACTTGAAGGAAAATATGGTAGCGCAGTGGGTTTTCTCTTGACTTGTTGAACAATGCTAAAGTCCAAATTTTACGTCCTGTTCAAAATTTGTATGTTAACCTCATCTTCATGGTCATGATGTGAGGAGGTGGGGCCTTTGAGGGGTGATTTGATCATAAAGTGTGAGCACTCATGAAGGGGATGAGTGGTCTTACAGAAGCAGCCCCAGAGAGCAACTTACCCTTCCACCATTGTGGGTACAAAAATAGCCATCTTTTTTTTTTTTTTTTTTTTTGGTTTTTCTCTGGTACCGGGAACCGAACTCACGACCTTGCACTTGCCAGGAAAAATAGCCATCTTGAAACCAAGTCCTCAGCTAAGCACGGAATCTGCCAACACCTTGACCTCAACTTCCCAGCCTCTAGAAGTGTAAGAAATAAAATATCAGAACTAAATGTAAGCACCTAATTCATAGCATTTGGTTATGACAGCTTCAATGAACTTAGATAAACAAGAATAGAGAAGAACAATTGTTAAAGGTACGAGCCTAGGGCAGAAAATTAGGGAAATGGGTGTCATTTTATTTAACTTTTTGTTTGACATTTTTTGAGATATGGTCTCACTGTGTTTGCCAGACTGGCCTTGAACTCCTGGGCTCTGTTTCTGCCTTCTGAGTGGCTGGGACTACAGGCATGCACACTGTGTGTTGCCCAGTTTTTAAATGTTTTTACTATACCTTTGCTGAGATACAGTTCATATACCATACATCGTTTAAAGTGTACAATTGAGTGGATTTCAGGATATTCAGCAAATGAATTCATAGAGAACAACATCACAATTCATTGTACGTTTTCCTTACCCCTCAAAAGAAACCCAGATGTCCTCCTTCATTTCCTCCCATTTCCTACAGTTGTTGTTTTCCTATTCTTGAGATCCTTGAGATTTCATATAAATGGAATTGCACAGTTTGCTTTCGTCACTTAGCGTGATGTTCCAAGGTTCATCCACTTGTGTGATGTGTCAGTACATCTTCCTTTTTTGGCTGAGTAATGTTCTGTTGTGTGGACATACCACATTTTATTTATCTATTCATGAGTTGATAGATGTTTGGATTATTTCTTGGGGCCATTAGTAATGTTGCTGTGAACATGCATGTGCATGTTTTGTGTAAACACATTTTATTTCTCATGGGTATATACCTAGTTGTGTAGTTGCTGGGTCGCAAGGTAACTCTACGTTTAACCTTTTTAGAAGCCGCTACACTGTTTCTCAAGCAGCCAAACCATTAAATATCCTTGAAGACAGTAACACTCCAGTTTCTCCACCTCCCTGCCATACTTGTCACTGTTTACCTTTTAATTCTGTCTTATTTCTTGTGAAATGGTATCTCATTGTGGCTTTGGTTTGCATTTCTCTAATTACCATTGAGCATCCTTTCAATAAAAAGATGTCCACTGGCCATTTACTTACCCTTTTAGAGAAATATCCAGATTCTAGCCCCATTTTTAAACTGAGTTGTCTATTAAATTGTAATAGTTCTTTTATGTTCTAGTCACACATGTGATTTACAAATTTTTTTTGCCTTCTGTGAAGCATCATTTTACTATCTCAGTGGTGTATGTCCTTTGAGGCATTAAAATTATGTTTTAATGATATCATTTGATCTGTTGTTTTCTTTTCAGGCCTGTCCTTATGCCTAAGACAACAAGTACCTATTTTCCTAAAAGTTTTGTAGTTTTAGTCCATACATTTAGGTCTTTATCCATTTTTGAATCCATTTTTATATTCTTTTTATGTAGTCACCCAATTGCCCCATCATGATTCATCAAAAAGACTATTGCTATCTCAGTGAATTATCCTAGAATCCATTTTTTATATGGGTACCACCTCTGAGCTTTTATATTATGACTTTCATGAACTGAAGGTTGGTGTTTTGTCAATCAATGGTTTGTTGACAGGCAGCTGAATTTTATAAATGCATCTTTAGATATGTGTGCATGGAAGGATTGCCTTTGATGGAAAAAGCACATTAGAGCATATTCATATGAAGAAAGTAAAATAACTTGTGTCACTTAACATTGGAAGCGTGTTCTGAGAAATGTGTGATTATGAGATTTTGTCCTTGTGTGAACATCTTAGATTACTTACACAAAGTTAGGTGTTACAGCCTTCTACATTTCTAGTCTATAAGATTGTTATTAGGCTACAGATCTGTACAGCAGGCTACTGTACTGATTGCTGTGGGCAGTTGTAACCCAGTGGTAGGTATTTGTGTATTTAAGCATTTCTAAGCAGGTTTCTTTACAAGAGCATCACCACAAACATGTGAGTAATATATCACAGTGTGACATTATGATGGCTGCAGTGTCTCCTGGTGACAGGGATTGCTCAGCTCCATATTAGTCTTATGGAGCCACTGTTATATATGTGGTCATTGACTGAAGCATCTTTATATAGTACATGACTGTATGTACCAGGATGGGATTAAAAACTATCATAAATGTTTAAAGTTGCTGTGAAAGACATAAGACGTATTGCTAGTAACACATTCACAATGGGGCTGTGATTTGTATGTTTTACTGCCGGGTGGCTGTGACCCTTCAGTGGTATAGGTATGACTATTCTATGGTGTGGTGCAGGACAGTTGTATGTGCTACTGGTGGTTCATACAGTGGGAATGTGTTAACCCCCCCAGTACTCCCACTTGCTTCACACACACATCATTCTTGCCACTTTTGGAAGCAGTTCTGGAAATCCTCTTTTGTGAGTGTCTGGAGTGGCACTGTCACTGTTTACCTTGTATGGTCATTTTGACTTTGGGAAAGAGCCAAAGTCACATGGTGGCAGAACCGGTGAATAAAGTGAATGAGGCCACACTGTGCTGTTTTTTACAAGTCTGCCTTTCCATTGGACGGCACTCAGCAGCAGCTTTCACTGCATGTTGGATCCTATTTTGTAAAGACACTCATGAAAAAGGACTTCCAGAGCTGCTTCAGAAATTGACAAGAATGATGGGACAAGTGTATTTGAGGTGGGGGGCAGTTAATGGCTGTGTATCTTTTAATTAAATAAAGTAAAAAATAATTTAAGCACTCATTGTAGTTTTTTTAATCACTGTGTGTGTGTGTGTGTGCGTGTGTGTACGCGCATGCACATGTGTTTGTCTATTGGTCTGTCTCTCCCCTAACCTCCAGGTGGAACAAGGGCACTGGCTTAGTATCTCCCAGACTAGTACTTCTCACACTGTACTGTGCCTTTGATTTCCCTCACGATCTTGTTAAACAGACCCTAGTTTTCTGTCTGAATTGGGGTCTGAATGACTGCGTCTCTTCATGTGATGCTGTGGTGCTGTTGCTAGTACAGTTCTGATCCTGCGGCACCACGGCATAGGGGGGACTGTCCAGTGTGATCTGAGTGTTCAGCGTTGCTGTATCTATTTACTTAAAATGACTTGGAGGGGAAATAAAAACTTGAATATTTTTAATTCAGTGTTTTTGTACTTTGCTTAATAAACTTCAGAGAAAAAACACCATGCAAAAAATAGAGTAAAAGTTCTTTTTTATGAAATTATTTTTTGCCAGTCTTGATTTTCCTGTTTTTCTTCTAGGCCTCTGATGATTGTCACCCAGAAGATCACCACCTTGGCCTTCCAAGTTCATGATGGTGAGAAAGGCAACCCTCCTTTCGGTTCTCAGAGTGAGCCTGACGTAAAGGGCTGTCCTTTTCCTGTAAATATGCAGTCCGAAGTGTGGACAAGTGCACACAGATCCTGTTCTATCTTCTCTAGAGCTTCTAGACTTCTTTAATCGTAGCCTTTTACTTTCCCAGTGAATACCCGCTACTTCTCATGTGAATCTGTCTTCTGTGTTTGCTCCAAGAACAGTGGGTTTTCTATTTATTTTCATAATGTTTTAAAGTTAATTTGTGACACTTTCTGACCTTCTTTTCCAAATCTGTTAAGAAATGGCCTTTTTACTTTGGTTTAATCTCTGAAAAGCTTACAAGGTAATAAAAAATGAAATAGCGTTGGCTGCTTAATCATTTTTTAATGCTAGTGTTTTGGCTTGGAAAATCATATAATGAGATTAGCCTGACCCTATGAAAAGCTGGGGTGAGGAAGAATCTTCTGTTTATATAAAACTGAACATTTTTTTCCCCACTCATGCACTCTCTAGAAACGGCCAGAACACGTCATTTACACTGTTAAAACTAAGCTCTTGGGGAGAGAAGATTATTTCAGCTGGGCAGAAGATTTCAATATGGGTTTAAGAGATGCCAGGTGCAATTAGTAAAAGTATGTTCTGTGGAGTTGTACTGCTCTGGAAAGGGCTTCTGACTATTGAAATTTCTTTGTATGTGCACAGGTTGAGAAGGTTTATCTCTGATAGCTAGTTTTCTGGTTTCTACTTAAAACTTGGGAGCTGGTTAAATTTCATTTGACCCAGGGTGTCCCTACTTCATCCTTCCTTGGTGCTTCAGTCATTCTCTAGAGAACTGTGTAATTTTATACCAAGGGTGGAGTCTTTCTAGGGCAACTAACCATCCTGGTTTGCTGAGTACTGGGAGGTTTCACAGGATGTAAAGTTTTCAAGTGCCATTGTCCAAGAATCCAAGGTGGAAGCTGAGTTGTTTATACTGAAACTGTACTTGACAGTGGCTGTAGATTAACATTAGCAAAATAAACCAATAGCTACAATTGATTTACTCCCTAACATTGCCAGATATGTACTATTTGTTGAGACCTTCAGCCTCCCAAGTAGCTGGGGTTACAAGCATGTTCAACCTTATCCTGTTTATTTTTTATTTTTGTCCTTTTGAGACAGGGTCTCCCTATGCAGTTCAGGCTGGCCTTGAGCTCACTTTGTAGCCCAGGCTGGTCTCGAATTCACAATGATCCTTCTGCCTCAGCCTCCCGAGTGCTGGGATTACAGGTGTGCGCCACCACGCCCGGCAACCTTATCCTGTTCAAATAATCTGTTCTCTTTTGACAGTATTGGGAATTGAACCCAAGCCTTATTGAGCTACATCCCAATTTATTTTTTTAATTTTGAGATAGGACCTTGATAAATTCCTGAATTGCTCAGACTGGGCTCCAACTGTCAGTCCTTTTGCCTTAGACTCCCAGAGTATTGGGATTACAGCGATGTTCCACCATGCCCTGCTAAATTTTGCTTTTTAAGGTATTCTTAGTTTACTATATTTTCTGGAACATCCTTTAGATGGAGCAACGTGTTTATTTGCCTTTTTCTATTTTTCCTGTGTGTGGGAGGAACAGGGAGATGCGGGAAGCACCCGCCTTCTCTTAGGCACGTCTTGAATTGCTTTCCTAGTTGGTGACTGTAATCCATCGTCATTAACTGGGTTGGCTTATAATGCTTGTAAGACAATGTTTTGATTTTTTTGACTCCAGATTAACAAGTAAATTTTATAGGAAGTGCATATGTGATTTGGTTGGGAGTTTGTCTGTTGTGGATGGATTTGAAGAAGAAAAAAAATCTGATAATTCCTTTGTCCTTTTCCTGCACGCAGGGTAAAATTTTTCTTGTTGTTTGGAAGATGCAAGTCCCTATTTTCTCCCCGTTATATCCTACCCCAAGCTCCCTTTTCTGCTGTGGTAATGAAATCATAGAGTGGTAAGGGGAGGATGTGGGGAAGGTCCATGTCGTGTTATGCACGTTAAATAGAAGGAACCTTTGAACGGAGCCCCCCTTTTCCTAGAAACCTGTACAGCATGCACGTTTGTGACTTCCGGGTAGCACTTTGATCCAGGCCCTCCTTAGCTCCTGATTCACGGGATGAAAGCTAGGGCCTTGTGAATGCTAAGCACGCACTCTACCTCTGAGCCATGTCCCAGACCCCCATAGGGCATTTTAAAAAAATGAAAAGCAGGGATTCTTTATGATTTACGAAGCAATAATAATTTGCCTCCCAAATGAATTCAGTAAGACTCTTCTAGGATTGTTTACTTGACTTCCAACATCTTATTTATAATTTTTTTTTTTTTTTTGTATTTCGTAGGACTAGGTCGAAAGGCTGAAGACCTCTCTGGTGAGCAGCACCAACTTGCTGTGAAGTGAGTTTATGACATACCTCAGCCCTCTGTCTATCAGTGCCTGGAGATTTTCCCTCATTTTTGTAGTTGCTCTAGGTTAATCCCATTATTTGGATATGATATTATGTATTTAATGAATGTGTTATTGATAGATTCTTGGACTGTTTTCCAGTCTTTGGCTTTGACAGATGGTAAGTGATGGATAACGTTGTGCATGAGTCATTTTAAGTGTGTTTGTGTCTAGCTTCTAGGTTCCCAGAAGCTGCGTTGTTAGGGCAAGGAGTAAATGGATCTAAAACTTCGTTAGTTCTACAAGATTCTCCTTCATCAGAGTTGTTTAGTCTACTCCGGAATTATTTTTATTGAGTGTGTGTCTGGGGCTCTTAGGAAACAGCGGATTTTTAATGCGTGTCAGTGTGTCCAGAGGCTGAAGCCTGGGAAAAGACAGGAAGCATGTTAGGAGAAATAAATGAGGCGGGGGAAGAAGGAGGTGGGCACTGGCCAGGGTTGATGTGCACTAGGAAGGAGGGCCGGTGTTAGAGAGGAAGGAAGGGCAGGTGTCTTAAGGTAGGAGAGAATAACACTGCCTGGGAATGAAAGGGGCCTTGAGCCGCATGTTAGGGAGGGTGGTGCGGCCCTGGCTGGGGATTCCTGCAGGAGAAGATCACGGGGCAACTGGGATAAGTAAGTACTGCCCCAGATGCTTCCTTCATTAAGGAAGCAAAGCATTATGGGGCGTAAGCCGTGGGGGGCATAATCCCAGGGGCTGGTTTCCCACAGTTCTGTCCTGCTGCACCAGGCTCCCAGCTGCCGCTCCCTTCTTGCAGGAGCTTTTCCCCTCACCGCCCTGGTATCTTGTTCAGGCCCTCGTGCCTGGATGACAAGGTGGACAAGGGACTGCTGTGGGGCTGTGGCCTCTTCAAAGTGGAAACCGGATGCACTCATCCTTTGTTTCGTATTTATTTTGGCAGTCGGGAGGGAGTTTTCCCACTTCAAAGCATCTCGTTCAGCGAACAGTTCAGGTTTTCACTCTGCCTTACCTTTATTGCCTTCTTTAGGTGCGAATGACAGGCAAGAGAAAAGAGAAAGCATTTCCCAGCCCCAAATTAGCTTTTGCCCTACCCAGCCCCGAGCCTGTAGCGACATCACCACTAGAGGGCGCCACGCAGCCCTCGGTCTTCTCCGACCACCTGCTTCCTTAATTTTTCCTTTCAACAAGAGTCTGCAGGTGATTTTTCTAGAACACAGACAAAGGAAGGTCTTATCACACATAGTAATCCACCAAGATAACTATTGTGTATATGATTCAATTACTTGTGTATTCTGAAGAAAAATCAAAGGTTGAAAAGTTTTCAACTTTTAAATTTTATTTTCACAGAGTGAAGCCTTCTTTTTTGGAATATTTAAGCTACCTTCTCAATTTCATGAGCGTCATTGCTGGTCCTTGTAACAACTTCAAGGACTACGTGGCCTTCATCGAAGGGAGACACATACACATGAAGTTGCTGGGCGTGAACTGGAAACACAAAGGTTTCCACAGCTTGCCGGAGCCTTCTCCAAATGTAAGTGTTTAGTGCCAAGTGTTCCCTCAGAGGGCCAGAGAGGAGAGCTTTTGCTGCCAGACCTAACTCTCCCTAATAATTGTTCTGATTAAAAAACCAGAGTGGAAAAAAGAGAAAAGAAAAAAGAAGAAGAAGGAGAAGAAGATGAAAGCTTAGAGAGTAACTCCCCCTCTCCCACTTTTTAAGCATTTGCTTAAAATACCAGTATTGGCATTTCTTCGCAGTACAAAATTTTTGTGTGTTAGCACTCTTAGCTGGGAGCCAGGAACTGTCTCCAGTACCTTGTAAATATTCATTCACTTAAGCCTCCATTCGCCCTCTGAGGAGGGGATGTTGTAATGCCATATTACAACTAAAAGTCTTTTTTTCCGAAGGTGAAAGTTACAGATCTGTAGAATGACATTTCCTGGAATGTTACAGAAACTGAGCCAAATCACTGTGTCCAGAGGAGTGTAAAAGCTGAGCACCTCTTAACCCCAGAACAGACACTGTGTGAACCATCCTAGAAGGCGAAAGCTTTGCACTCCCCGGCTCAGGTGTTCGGTCACGTGATGGCTCGGGTGTTCAGTAACATGCGCAGAGCTCCTGGTACCTGAGCCTCTGTTCTCTTGGCTCCTGATTCAAGCCATTTCCTGGGCTCTGCTGGCTGTAGACGTGGAAGACAAACTGTTATTTCTTCCTGGTGCAAAATTGCCAACCTGTAATGTTAGCCCCCTCTCTTATATTTTAGGTAATGAAGTCACTTACCTTTTGTATTACCTGATACCACAGCTTCAAGCAGGAGAGGTTTCATTCAGCTCACGGGCTCAGAAGGTTCAGTCCAAGGCTGGCTAACTGCAAGTCAGAAACGTGGAGGAAGGGAATGACAGCAAGCTGGCTGAGAAGCAGAGCGGGGGAACAGTTTTAGAGAGGGATGGGAGAGGGACCAGAGAGAGTACCAGATAGAATACCTTCGAGACTCACCTGGACACATGCCTCAGAGCATGCTTTACTAATCTGCTAGTGTTTCTTAGTTTGGTGAGCTTGACTTGCCAAGGGTAACAGTCGCACCTTTTGTGGGTAGCGTATGCTGAAAGACATTTTCCTCCAGTCTGTATACATTTAGTCTCAAGTGTATATTCTGCATCTAAATACACCCCTCTAATCGTCATCATCAGTTTTGTGTCAGGAGGAAGAATACCTGTTGCTCCTCCTTCCCGGAATAACACCGTAACTGCTGTTGGAGCGACAACGTTCTTAACGTGCCCAGCCCCAAATCATTGTCCTCATCACTGAGCCTTCTGAGTGGTCACACTGATTATCTTCCATTTCCAGAGAGCTGTGATACAGAAGTTGTGCGTCACCTCGCTGTCTCTCCTTTTGTTTTTGACACTCACAAAGACATTCCCCATCACCTGCCTCGCCGATGACTGGTTTGTCCATAAAGCAGACTTTCTGACTCGGCTCTTGTACTTGTATGTGGTCATGCAAGCCACAAAGCCCAAGTATTATTTCGCATGGACGTTAGGTAAGTTGGAGACAGCGGCCTTAAGTGAATGGGAAATAAGATGATATTCTCTGAGTGGTTTAGCAGGAACATTTTGGATCACTCAAAAAAAAATACTCCCATCCATAGTGGGGACAGCTGAGCCAGTCTCATTTTATACTTTCCGAAATAACCTTCTTCTCTTTCACCCTCCACAAACTCAGTTCGCTATGATAAGGGGAAAACCAGGCCTAGCAGTGGTTTCAACCCAGTAACATCAACAGTTGCAGACCATGAAGCTTCCGCTTATACCAAACTTGGCCATTGAGTGCAGTGGAAAGGTAGGCGAAAATTCCAGAATGATCAGGCTTCCTTGTAATTTTTCCGTGTTGTATGTAATATAGGGTGCACACTGAGTTTATTTTAAATGCTAATTGAAGTCATACTTTAAGAAAATGTCGGTTAAGCTTTGCATTTTAGAAAGAAGCTGACATGAAGTTCTTTTCATTTTTTAACATAGAAAGTTCAACTTCATTTGGCTTAGCACCTTTTTTTTTTTTTCCCTGTGGGGCAACTTGGTCAATATTAAGCTTTTATCTCTTTCTTGTTGAACAGTTTTAGACTGGAGTTTCTTTTAAAGCTTTCTAAAGTGAACAATAAACCTCTCTGTGTATGTACTGTGGGTGGTAGAGTTTTTTGATAAGGCATAGCAGCTGTGTCTATTTCACTTTGGGGTCTTTTTGAGGATGAAAGTTTAACATCTCAGCTGGTGCTGGGTGTCTAGTTACTTTTCTCATTGCTGAGACAAGCTGCCCAATGCCCAAAGTTAAGGGAGGAAGGATTTATTTAGTTCACAGTTTGTGGAGGTTTCAGTCCATAATCTTCTGGCTCCAAGGCGGGATAGCTTGGTAGTTCATGGTGGGCAGTTCATGGTGGGTGTGCACCCTATATTACATACAACACGGAAAAATTACAAGGAAGCCTGATCATTCTGGAATTTTCGCCTACCTTTCCACTGCACTCAATGGCCAAGTTTGGTATAAGCGGAAGCTTCATGCAAAGGAACAAAGGAACAAGGGGAAGACAAGCCTCTTTCTGTCACTTATATTGTACCCAGGCTACTGGGATTAGGGTGGTGCCAGTCCAATCACTGGGCTGATTTAGTGATCACTCGTCCTTAATCCTAGCACCCTCTATCCTAGCATTGCACCGTGAATCAGTCACACACTCTGGATTCAGCCTCCTCTGAAAAAGCCCCACTTGTGACCGCATGAGGCTTTGGGGGACATCTAGACATAAACCACAAGAAGTAGTGACTTGGCTTCTTAAATCAAATGGATTGTGAAACTCTCTTCTTAATGTTTAGCCAATATCTTATCAATGGGGGACTGGCACTTCACTGATGCTGTTCTTCTTTTAGCTCATGCTTCAGGTTTTAAGCTACAAATAAAACTTACAGGTACCAAATTACTGTTTTGATTATTACTGTACTATAATAAACTGTATGTAACAAAACATGTGTTTTAAACCATCTGAATATGTATAATTCTATGGCATTAATTTACTTATAATCCCATACCATCACCCCATACAGAAACTCTATATCCATTAGATGATAATTTCCCATCCCTCCCCTGGGACAGATTTTTTTTTTTATTTTTTGTTTGTTTTTTGAGATGGGGTTTTGCTGTGTGGCTCAGGCTAGCTTTGAAATCATTCTGTAGCCCAGGCTGGCCTTGAATTCAAGGTGATCCTCCTGCCTCAGCCCCAAGTGCTGGGATTACAGATATGTGCCATCATGCTTGGCTTAGCCCAGGTTATTTTAAAGAGCCAGATCATTCATGCATAAGCTTAGTCTAATGCAATGTTTGGAAAACGTGTAGTCAGAAATTCCTGATTTAAGAGCTGGGAACGTAGCTCAGCGGCATAGCGCCTGCCTAGCAAAAAAAGAAAAGAAATTCTGACTTGGAGCTGTTCTAAAATTTGTAATGTGTGGCATCTTGATTGTGGTTACGTTCAATTTAACTCGAGGAGCTTTTGTTGAGTATCAGGAGTAGTACTAGTAGCTATGAGAAATACGGTACTATCACAATAAAAGACACATTGCTATTAATCCTTGCAAAATACTTCTCCTTGCTTTGAACACTTAACCCCTTGTTCTTACAATTTTTCTGAAGCAGTTCTGGGAATTTCTTAGGGAAATTTATTTGTACTATCCTGGCTGATTTGATGTCCTCAGTTGATTCAAAACATTTACTTGTCATGCTCATTTTGACTTTGGGGAGAAGCCGGAAGTTGTACAGTGGCAGATATCCACTGAATAAGGTGGATGAGGACTTACCATAATGTTTTTGTTGCATGGCATTCAGGAGCATCATTCACTGTATTTTTGACCATACCTTGTAAAGACATTCAAGAAAGAAGACTTCCAGAACTGCTTCAGAACTTGGCAAAAATGATGGGACAAGTATGTTCAGAGAGAGAGTATTTTGATGGGGATGGAGGGCAATGTATCTTTTACTGTAACACATTTTAAAAATTTAAACAAACACTGTATTTTTAAAATCAGTCCTTGTGGGAGGAATTCAAAGGTGGGTAAGACACCTACCCTGCCTCAAGATGGTGACACTTTATGGAAACACAGACACATGCAGTCACCAGGCAATTTGTGCCAAGAGCTGTCCCGTGGTGGGAATGCAGAGAAAGTGATAAATGTGCACTGCTTACTGAGGAAGGCTTGAAAGGTTTCCTTTGATCTTATTCTTCGTTCTGCTTTTGCTTTATTATTTAAAAGTCATCATTTCTTTTGTAGTGAGGCGTTACGTGTACTTATTATATCTACTATGATTGGAACCCTTCTTCGAACATGGCATATTTTCTATGTGAAATAGTTAATAGTTTTTCTAACCTGAGAGAGAGTGGTTTATTTGCATGTGCGTTCATATAGCGGAGAGGGAGAGGGAGAGGGAGAGGGAGAGGGAATGAGAATTAATCTCCCTCCTTTTACCACCTTTTCCTTCCTCACTTACCTTCCTTTTCTCTTCCTTTTCTCCTACCCTTCCTGTTCCTATATCTTGCATCCCAAGGCTTAAGGGCTGGCCTCTGGACTAAATCAGCTACTGATTAAGGAGGAAAGAAAGGCCATTCCGTGGCCTCGTAGGGAAAATCAGACATGAGGTGGGTTGTGGGATTTTGCTCGCGGGCCTGGGTGGGGGTGGTGACAAGAACGGGGGTGCCTGCATCATTCTGCCCCATTGAGTGGCTCCCCAGATGTTTGCAGTGATCAGGCGACCCTTTCTGTGTGGCCTGAACTCGTTTTCTTTTCCAACCCCTGCACTCTTTTCTTTATTTTCTTTTAGTTGCTTCAGTAGAAATGCTTCATTAATTTGCAGAGCCTCAATTGGAAGTTTGTTACAGTTTAGATTGCCTGGGCTGGTCTGAAATTAACCTTTGTATTATTTATGAATAAAGAAGCAATGAATAGTATATCAGGGAATATTTAAAGTGCTTAACCAAGTAATTGTTTTATCCCGCTCTTTAAAACACCATTTACATATAATTGATGTAGTAATTACATATGATTATAAATTTAATCCTTAAAGTTGGTCTGCGATGTATCTCAGCCGAGCCATACCCCATTAGCCTATCCTAGATACTGTTTATATTAAAATAATATAACTATTTTCTTTGGATTTAGAATCTAATTCTGGTTATTTCCCTGCTGCTAATTGGTACTAATTAGAGAGATGCAACTGTAGCCCAGGCTGTGTTCTAAGGGTCACAAATTGCAACGCATGGGTATCCAGAATTTATCTATAATAACAGGTTAGACTCACCCACGAGGCAAGGAAGTTTGGACTAGGAACTTGGAACCGCTTAATGGCTCTGGACAAAAACAAACTGAGAGTTCCAGGGCTGTGTGAAGGGTTTAATTGTCCTGAGAGTCAGTACTTAAGGTCATTCGTTCTTTGTCTTTCAGCATGGCTAACAGGTGGTGGAATCAGAGTTCTAGTATTCCAATTCTGGCATTGTTTACCACCTGCCTACTCTTTTTTTTTTTGGTTTTTCTCCGGTACCGGGAACCGAACTCACGACCTTGCGCTTGCCAGGCAGGCGCTATTGCCGCTGAGCTAAATCCCCAGCCCCCACCTGCCTACTCTTAATGTTTACCTGACATCTCTAACCACGGTTCCCCTTATAGGCTGATTAAGGTTGGCAATGATAATAATAATAATGATAATAATAATTAATAATGATAATAATAATGAGGGTAGAAGCCAACATTTCTTGAGTGTCACCTGGATTCAGGCTCTGTGCTGAGCACTTTTAACCCTTCCAACAGCCCTTTCAACAGATGCTCCTCCCAGCACTGGGGATTGTATCAGGGCCTTTGCACGGAACTCCAGCTCCTGTTTTTTTTTTTTTTTAATTTTAAGATGGGATCTTGCTAAATGCCAAGTTGCCCAGGCTGGGCTCAGACATGCAGTCCTCTTGTTCAGTTGTAGGGTTACAGGTGTGCCCAACATGCCTGGCTCAAACAGGTGCTATTATTGTATTCCCTTTATACTTAGGGAATAGGTTTCTAGGAGTTAGACGAATCCCGCGAACATACATGTAGCACGCCGCGGAGCACACCCTTGGTACCCTCTTAACACCGTGCGGTGATCAAACGAGAAATGCCTGTAGGGTGTTGAGTCCTGGAGAGAGGGTGAGCACTGGAACACACACACACACACACACACACACACACACACACACACATACGGAGTTACTACTGTTCAGAATTTTAGTTCTGACCAGGTGGGCCAGAAATGAAATTGGAGGTGGAAGCATGAACCCAGGGCTTGTGAAGATGCTGGCCCAGCCTCGGGCCATTCAGTTCTCCTTTGAGTTGTCCACATGGATCTCTGAGGCTCTTCTTCTCCCACCTCACTTATCTCTGTAATTCACAAATGTGTTCCATGCGCATAAAACCATTAGGTTCCTTCGGAGACACACATATGCTCACTTTGCTTTTCTTTTTCTTCACTACTGAGTTTCCCTTCAGTTGGCTTGGGAGGATGAGACAGAAGGACTTTTCTTCCTTTCTTATTATTATCCCTCCTCCTCCCCTCTCCCTCTTCCCTTTCCCTCCTCCTTCTTCCTCTTTCTCTTCTTCTTCTTGTTTTTTGAGTCAGGGTCTCACTTTGTTGTCCAGGCTGGCCGTAAATTCACTGTGTGGCCCAGGGTGGCCTTGAACTCGCAGTGATCCTCCTGCCTCAGCCTCCCAAGTGCTGGGATTACAGGCGTGCACCACCCTGCCTGGCTCATCCTTTAGTCTTAAACGAAACCAGATCACTGTACAGGGAGGCCAAGCCTGAGATAAGCAACCTTCAGTGATCAACCATGCCAACAATAAGTCAGACAAACATAGCATGAGGTTTTCATTCTTACTTTGTTTTGTTGTCTTTGTAGTGTTGGGGCTGGAACCTAGGAGGCAGGTGCTTCGAACTGTTTTACCTTTTTGCTTAGCTTCCCCGGTTCTCATTTAGTCTCTCATTTTTTGCGCTCTGCAAACCGTTAGCACCTTTCTTCCTAGCAGGTGCTTGCTAACTGCTGTGGAATGAGTGAATAAAAAGCAAGGTCATGAATAACCAGCATGCACTGTGCCTCACTCTTAGCCCCAGAAGAGGTTATCACTTTAGAATCACTCTTTCTAAGGCAATCTTGACTGGGACTCACACTCTTACAGGAAGTACTTCTCTAAAAGCCTCCTTCAGGTCTTAAGTCTTTTCTGGACTGTGACTCAGTTAGTTTGATTGTTTCCTTTGGGAAAATATACCAACACACTTTGAAATAAAATAACGAAAAGAGAAAATCAACCTCCTGATCACCAGAAGTGCATTGGGTTCAGTACTTGGTTACAAGGACACTTCCTCGAGGAACTGGGCAGAGGTGAAATAGTCACCGGAACGGAGAGCGTGTGCCTGTACATTAGCGAAGCAGGTAAAGATTTTTGAAACAGAAGCATGCAGAGTGACCCCATGGGCTGGCCGGCTTTGAGCATTGTGTCCACGCGTGGCCCCCATTGCACCGGGCCCAATTCACAGCCCAGTTCTGTTCCTTGTTTGGAGTTTTTAAACTATTCTCAACTGCATCTGGGCAGCTCTGGTGTCCTGCTGGCAACTCGTGTGACGTGTTCGGGATCCGCTCAATTCTTCTTCCAGAGCTGCTCCTCCTCTTGCCTGAGTGTGCTTCTTAGTTAATGCCCTGCCATCTGCAGTGACAACTCTTGATTTTCTCTTGGGTCCTTTGTTTTTTTTCCAGGGGGCTTCTGAGCTGAGGTGTATTTTTGCCTCCTTCTCCCCTTATAAGAACTTGGTCACTAAAATCCTACTGTTTATCTTTTTGCTTAGCTTCTCCAGTTCTCATTTATTTTCATTTTTTGCATTCTACAAACATCTAGCACCTTTCCTTTTTAGCAGATGCCCACTAACTGCTATGGAATGAATGACTAAAAATCAAGATCATGAACAACCAAAATTGTTTTTCTGACTCACACTGATATCGGGTCCTTTAATTTAATTTAATTTGTTTATTTATTTTTTTCTGAGGAATGAGCATCTATCTGTCAGTATTGAAGAGCCTTGGTGACTTTTAAAGCAGCCGCGTGACTTTCGGTCCATATCCTAATATATTGTTTTGAAAACCACAGCTGATGCAGTCAATAATGCAGCTGGTTTCGGGTTCAGCGGAGTGGATAAAAGTGGGAATTTCTGTTGGGATCTGCTTTCTAACCTAAACATCTGGAAAATTGAGGTGAGTGTGTAATGCTTTTGAATCAGACTTCCACAGTGAATGCAGCAAACAGTTTGCTTTGAGTGTGGTCTGAGTTGCATTGTAGGAGTTGCTGCAGTTCTTCATGGGAACGCCTAAGGGATGAAAAGCTGCTGTCAGATACCCCGGACCTTGCAGCCTCCTGGTCATCTTGCATCTTAGAATTTTGTTCTTTAAGAACAAAACTTCCTACTTTCTTGACACCTTTAATCATTCAAGAATGACACCAAAAGTCTGAAGAAAGAGCCAGGAAAATCTTGTATTATTTATGTTCTTGCTTTTTCACCTTAGAGCCAATGTCATTTCCTTTTGTCCACCTTTATTTCAGTCAGGAACACAGACTGGAAGCCCTCTATTTGGATTTCAGAACTCCAAGAATTTTCTCTGGTTCCTTTAGAAACAGTTATAATCGATTTGCTTTTAAGAAAAATTGTTATGGACAGTTTTTTTCTTCAGGCTACTAGATCAGCGTGGTTTTTCTCTTTCCTTGTTTTTATTCTTGGACCATGATTCTCTGTATGTCATCACCATGAGACATGGTCTCTTTGGGCCACTTCCTTCTTGGTCTTTTGTGCTCTGCTAGCTCCATGTGGACAGGAACGCCAGGTCACAGAGTTTTCCCTTCTTTAAGCTAGAAGGGAAGAACACACAGAAGCTTTGGCTCTCTGGCCAGGTGACTCATCTTTGCTATTGGTTTGAGTTTTCCACCTCCCCAGGGCAGACAATGTCTTCGGAGAGTTTGGGGAGGAGCGAATAGAGCAGGAAGCAAAGGATGTGTGGAGACTGAGCACCTTTTGCCACAGGGTTTGGTGAAAACTAGGCCAAAAAGAGCTAAGGAGAAACTACCTTCTGCCTGAGGCTTTTTGCGTTTGGACGTCTATGGAAAGGTGATCTGCCCTTACTTAACAAAATGTGGTGGGATTTATGGGTAGGATTACATTTCCTTTTCCTTCTCTACCTCCTTGCATTACCACGCAAGAAGAAAGAAGCAGGAGCACTGACACTGTTGTCTTTCCAAATCGTATCGTATGTTCAATTTAAATTCATAGTGCTGTCTGATGACTGAGGTTCATCACATTCAACAAATATGAATTATATCAACTGAGGGCCCACGATGAGCAAAACAGTCATTTTTGGATAGGTGTAGAGGATCTAGGCTCCCGTGGACAGAAGGCATTAGGAAATATGATGTGAACATGGTCAAAAGTCTGGAATTTATTCTGAATGAACAGTCGTGCTTTGCCCGTTGGTTGCCTTGTGAGAGGCAAGCATCAGCGTCCTGTCACAGAGAACCGTGTCTTAATGGACAAATTCCAGCCTTCAGAGTACCTCCCCCAATTTTTTAAAAAGCAGTATAGATCATCCACAAGAGTCTCTTCCCCATATAGATGATGTCAGAGAGTCGGGATATCTTAACTTTTCTTCCTATCCCCGCTACAATTCTTTTCACTCTCCAAAGACAGGGGGTACGGCTGGCTTCCCTGGAGCTCTGCGGGTGAATGTCTGTCAGAGGGGCTCCCCTTGACGCTGGCCGTCCGTCCACTAGTGTATCTTAGCTATGCACCAGAAGACAGACTTCGCCCACTCCAGGCAGGTGCTCAGGGTAAAGGGCTAAGTTATTAAGTTAGATATTTATTATAAGAAAAGCAGAAGGATAAAGGTAAGTTTTCATTTTATTTGATATAGGACAAGGAGCTCAAAAAATAAGGAAGTCTGATTTAGTTAAGGTAACTTGATGCTGTGGATATCGCATTTTATTAGCTGTAGGAACACAGATAAACAAAACTGTAGCTGGGCATGGAGGCGGCACGTGGCTGTAATCCCAGCACTCTAGAAGCTGAAGCGGGAGGCTTACTCTGAGTTTGAGCCTAGCGTGGGCTACATAGTGAGTTTAAAAGATTATCCCGAACTACATAGTATGACCTGTCTGAAAAAACAAACAAAAAGCCAAACTATTTAAGACTTTGAAATAAAAACTTACAATATAAAAATCTATCTTCCTCCCTCACCCTCTCTCTCCTCCTTCCCTTCCAGTCATGTTGCATGAGGCCAGTAGGGGGCCTATACAAGACTTTCTTATGGGTGAAGAATCTTAAAACAGAATACGCATTTCCCCTTTCTACTTTCTTTAGGAATTGTGGTCCTCATGTTTGCTTCACATTTTTTGCCACTTTGATAAAACTTTTGTTTTGGAATGAGAAAATCCATTTATTTTGGGATGTCTCTTCCTCAGTGGTTGATGGACTTAATCTTTGTGAGTTGGGTGATAGTTCTTTGTCTTCTTTTCTGTATTATTTCCCCTACATGCGTAAAATCTCTATCCCAGACACAGCATTTGAACCTGTGTAGCTATTTATAGAATTAACTGCATGAGCCTGACCTAGTTTGTGCGTGGCCACGTAGTGCAAAGATGACAAACATGTTTTAACTGTCTCTATAAAGACACTAAATTTCCACAATTGAACTTTTCCTGTGGTTTGTCTGCTTTTAGAGTATTTAGGTTTTTAAAAACTGGGAATGGAAGGGAAACCCACAGAAACACTCCCTCAGCTTTCCTATAATTTGAAAATAAATTTGGAGAGGAATTGGGATGTTCGTGAGCCAAGTTTTAGCTGCAAGGCAGATCTTATAAGTATTGGGAAATGTTACTGTGTGTATGGAACAGCTGATTTACTCTTTCCTGTCAGTAGTGACTTTTGAAATGCCACATCGAATCTGCCACCAAGAAGGTCTGGGGAGGACTTTCCATTCCTTGGGGTATTTTATTTTTTTAAAAAAGCTAATGATGGCTGTTATTTTCTTCTTTGCAGACTGCCACAAGTCTCAAGATATACTTAGAAAACTGGAATATTCAGACAGCAGCTTGGCTAAAATGGTAAGGAAAACAAAAACAACCGAGTTACTTATGGCCTTGGAACATGCTCGGATGAGATTCTTTTTTGGGGGCCGGGACAGGGAATTGAACTCACAACCTCACGTTTGCTAGATAGGCACTGTGCTGCTGAGCTATATCCCAGCCCCTCACAAGAGATTCTGAGTGAACATGTCATTACTGTGTACCTGTGTCACTTATTTTTCCTTCTGTCGAGTTCATGGGATGTCAGGAGTCTTTATCTCTGCTTTATAGATAAGGAGTATAGAACACAGAGAGGGTATGTAACTTCCCCAAAGTCACACAGCTCATGAGTGATAAACAGCAGCCCAAATGCTTTGTGTCCAGTAGGAGGCGCTTGGTCTCCATGCCAGGCCGCCTGCTACCTAGAGGAGTCATGTCACTGTCAGCTTGGACTCACTGAACATGCAGTGTTCATGTCTAGCATCGAAAGCTTTCTGGAGCTCCAGATGTGTGTGCTTCTTAAATTTGTTTTTTTTTTTTTTTTTTTTTTTATGTTTCTCTATCCTTTGGTTTCCTTCATGTTCCCGAATTAAAACCATCTCTTCTTAGGGAACTAACACTGTGCTATCCTCAAAGCCAGCGAACTGTATCTGGTGACTGTCCCATCATATTGGAGAGAAAGTATAAAAATCTTTAGCGTTAGGGCTGGTGATGTAGCTCAGCGGCACAGCGCCTGCACAGCGCCTGCCTGGCAAGCGCAAGGTCCTGAGTCTGATTCCTGGTACCAAAAAAAAGAAAAAACTTGAGCATTAAAGTGTATCTTAGCTATGCACCAGAAGACAGACTTCTGTTAGACTATGCACTGTTCAGAGGTCAGAACACTGGTTTAAAGGCAGAGGCACCGTGTAGGAATTGTCCCAAAGTATGTTTATGTGGTATTTTCTGAAAACTGATCTGAACATGTAGTTTTTGCATTTTGGTCTAAGAATCATTGCTTTTAGTTAATTTTACAAATAACTTTAACATAAACATCTTTTTCTTTATACCAAGTAACCCAAATGTATTAAGAGTCAGTCTCTAGTACAAGCTGTCTCAGATGACTAAATATACATGTGTGCACATAAAAAATGAAAACAATATCTCTAAAATGTTAGCAGTAAAATATTTCATTTATACAAAAATAAAGAGTAAGGAACAAATACACAATGTACCTACTTCTTATTTCAAAAAGAAGTATTGCACATAGGTTCTCATTTCTGTGTTTTTCTGCTCGGATATATTCTGTTACAGATTAGCAGCCATAATCCCTAGTTTGGGTGTGAGTCGGTTGCTTTTGGCAGTGTATACAGTGATGCATTGGTGATAACTGTTTGAATTTCTATCTTTTATTTGAGTCTTTGTTTAGTAAACAATGTGATAGGGGGCTGGGGATTTAGCTCAGCGGCAAAGCGCCTGCCTGGCAAGCACAAGGTCATGAGTTCAGTTCCCGGTACTGGAAAAAAAAAAAAAAAGTAAACAATGTGATAGATTCCTTAGGAGCCATTAGCTATTTTTTTATTTTAAAGAGAATAAAAGTAATGAAAGACATTAGAAATAATACAGAATTTCAAAAAACAAGATGATTTGAATTCAACAATGGTTATTATAATGCATATTGTTGTCTTCAAAGTAGTTGTTCAGATTACCAGATATAAGCATGCAAAATTGGTCAAAAAAATTAAGCATTAACTATTCCTTTCAATAAACCAATAGAAAGTAGTAGTACAATTATCTTAGCTATCTTGCGTGTGTATATATATGTATTTTCCCCCTTCATTTTTTTTTTCTCCTTTCTCTCATCCCAGTTGTTCTTTCCTTTTGAGCAGTTTCCTTCCCTTTCACAATATCTTTTGTTCCTTTCAGATTCTATTTACTCTTTTAGGTTCTTACATTAGGGAGACAATACAATGTTTACACATGCGGGTCTGACTTATTTCACTTATAAGTATGGTCTCTAGTTGCATCCATTTACCTATAAAAACCTCGAGTTTATCTTTCTTTATAGCTGAGTAATACTTCATTGTATAAAAATAATACCACATCTTTTTTATTTATCCCTCAGTTGATGGGTATTTGCGTTGTTTCCAAGATTGAGCTATTACAAATTGTGCTGCTATAGACATGGGTGCACATATATTGCTGTGGCATGATGTTTTCAGTTCTTCTGGAAAAATACCCAGAAGGGGAATAGCTGGGTTGAATGGGACCTCTAATCCTATTTTTTGAGGAATGTCCACCTAAAGAATTAAAAAAAAAATCAGGCCCTCAAAATTCAAAGACCCATTCCAAAAATGGGCATCTGAGATGAATACACACTTCTCAGATGAAGAAATACAAATGGCAAATAAATATATGAAAAAATGTTCAACATCATTAGTCATTCAAGAAATGCAAATTAAAACAACACTGAGATTCCATCTCACCCCAGAAAGAATGGCTGTCATCAAGAAATCAACCAATGACAAGTACTGGAGAGGCTGAAGGGAAAAACGAACCCTTTTCCACTGCTGGTAGGAGTCTAGGCTTGTACTACCACTGTGGAAATCATTGGCTATTTTTAGATAGAGTTTTTTTGGGGGGTGAATCCCTTATTAGTTTGTTTTAATAAAAAGCAGAGAGCCAAAGAACTCCAGGATATTTATTTGCAGACATTCTCTAGATCAACACATTAGAGGTTGAGCATCCCTTGTCTAACAGTCTGAAATCCAAATCTCCAAAATTGGAATCTTTTCAAACATTAACCTGATGTCACAAGTGGAAAATTTCACATCTGACCTCATGTGATAGGTCTCAATCAAACACACTAAAAATACCCTATAACATTACTTTCAAATTATATACCTTCTGTAAGGTGTACAATAAATGGGTGGATTTTGTATTTTACATTTAGGTCTTATCCCCAAGGTAACTCAGTATGTTTATGAGCATGTTCTAAAATCCAGAAAATATGCAAGAATATTGGGTAAGATATTCAAAACCTAATTACCCTTTAAGGCAGATTGCTGGACTGGAAGCTGACGGGCCCTGAACAGGTCGTGTTACTGGCACATTGACTGTGCTGGAGCCACTGTCAAGAAAGATGAAAGCACTAGCTGGAAATTTCCATTTCCATGGACCCTTATCACCATTCCAAAATGTTTAATACCAACGGCACTTACTTAAGTACCCCTGGTGGCTTAGACCATCGGTGGAATCAGCTTCTACACGGCTGGAGGTCTTGCTGTCATAGGCAAAAAGTGATCATTCAGATCTTCATCAAGTGTAGCATGGTGGGGTTCAGAGGTTAAAAATTTGTAACATTTTGAAACAAATGGGAAGCTATTCACTCCTGCTTAAATTTATTTATTCTACAAATATTTCAAGAACTCTACTCTATGCCAATCAATGCTGTAGGTACTGAGTTCTGCCATGATGAACAAGATTCCCTCCCCTGAGGAATTTCTATTTTAGTTAGAGGAAGTGTGTCAGAATCTGTATGCGAACAAGATGGATAACTGATTGCTCAAATTAAATGCATATTGTACATATTTATAGATAGAAACATACATTTGTAATATAAACATACATTATACATACATTTGTAACATTTTCTAAAAAGGCTGAGCCAGTTTTTTCTAAAAAGATTGCTTGTCTGCTAGTGCTAAGGAAATAAGAGCAATGCAGAGTTCTTGCAAAGGACTTTCTTTGAAAGTCCTTCAGGAGAGTTAGGCAGGCACCCCATCAGTAATAAGTCTGATGATCTCTGCGTGGTCTATTCCAAAAGGAAACAGAGGTAGTTGAAGTTCCTGGTGTGTTTTACCTGCAGCGTGTTGTTCTCTCCTCTCTTCACAGTGTTTGCTATGAGCGGGTTCCATGGTACCCTACGGTGCTAACCTTCATCCTGTCTGCTCTGTGGCATGGTGTCTACCCTGGGTACTATTTTACCTTCTTAACTGGAGTCCTTGTCACATTAGCAGCAAGAGCGGTAAGCTTTCTTTGGATGTAGGATCTTTTCTTTACCAGGCTGACGCCTATACGTCTATTATCTTTTAGGTCCTAGCAAGAATTGGGGGTGGGAGAGACAGTAGGAAGACTATTTTGAAAACTCAGACAATATGTGGAAGTCTTTCCCTTAGAGGCATATTTCAGTATGTAGGAACTTACACTATGAACATTGCAAAACTGATGAAATGTCTTATCTTCATGTTATTTACAGAAGGTATTTGTAAAATAAAATAAATTTTAGAAGGAATATCTACTACCTTAAGAAGTGAACATATTATTACAGGTTATGAATTCCCAATTGTAAATATGCACAGTTGACTAGTTGTAGGTGGTAATGACAAATAACGTTGGTTCCATAGGAGGAGTGTGTTTTGTCTATGCTATGCTTAATTTCTCATTTCGTTTTCTTAAATAATTCCCAAAGTCATGAGCAGTCAGTGAGATAGCAGCCATAGGAACTGTGTCTGCTGGAGACTGACTTAACCTCTTATGTTCTTCTGTCGGATCCAGTTTAGTTTGTATACAATGCTTTGTGAATTTCGTAACTTTGGTTCTTCAGGTTTTTTTTTTTTTTTGAAGAGCCTGTAGTTTGTCCTAGGTTTTCCCCTATAATTTGCTTATTATAAAGCAAGATAATAAAGAAATGAAAAATATGACTGTCTTCAAAGAAGATGCACATGTGTAGAAGTAATTGTAATTCGAAGTGCTTTTATTGTCAAATACATTTTTGTATTTGATTTAATTTCAATCTTTGATCATGATTGTGGCCTTATTTCAGATGCTAAGAGGTTTTGATGACATTTATTGAACTATATTTTCAATATGAATTTAGGAGCTCCAGAATAGCTATTGTCTCCTGCTTAAATTTATTTAGACTACAGATATTTCAAGAACTTTACCCTATGCCAATCGATGCTGTAGGTACTGGGTTACCACAATGAACAAGATTCTCTCCCCTGAGGAACTTCTATTTTAGTTAGAGGAAGTGTGTCAGAATGTGTATGTGAACAAGATGGATAACTGATTGCTATCTGTGCTGATTTAAACTTCTAAAATTAGGGCTGGGGATTTAGCTCAGCGGCAAAGTGCCTGCCTGGCAAGCGCAAGGTCATGAGTTTGGTTCCCGGTACCGGAGAAAAAACAAAAAAAAAACAAAAAAACCTTCTAAAATTAAATGCATATTGTACATATTTATACATAGAAGAGGGAAGACATTTTCTTTTCTCTCATTCATATACGTACTCAGATTATAAAAGAAAACTAAAGAACAGATGGCCTGCACGAACTATGAAATAAAGGTCAGAGTCTTCCTTGTTAATATATTCAGAATATTATTTCTTAAAATATCTTTAGGTCATGGTCTGAAACTAGCATAAAGGCTTTGGTTCATGTAGATCTTTTCTTTTGGAGAGCTTGAAAATCTTTTTAACAAGGAAGTTAAGTAGAGAGCAGAAAGGGGAGGGTTGATAGAACAAAGCTTCCATTTTTTTTTTAGAGGAATGAACTCAACAGTCATGAAGTCTTAGGTCCCTGGAAGTTATTTCATAAACTCTCACACCTGATGCCTGTATTGCTGATGGATGGACCCCTGGTCTCTGTCTGTAAGAACTCAAAGCTGAGACGAGGGGTCCATAGCTCACTAGGTAGCCCCGGACACAGAAACCTTTCCTACACTGGGGCTTAACCGTTGTCTAAGTTACTTTTCTCATTGCTAGTACGAAATATCTGATACCCACAAGTTAAACAAGGAAAGGTTTATTTCAGCTCATAGTCTGTAGAGGTTTCAGTCCATAGCTGGCTGGTTCCAAGGCAGGGAGGCATGGCCGAGGGGCATGGCAGAGGAGAAACAGCCCAAGGCAGAAACCAGGAAGCAGCAATAGTCTGCTTTTCCCCCTTTATTCCATCCAGTCTGAAAGCCATTGGTTGGTGTCACTCACACCCCATGGTGGGTATTTTACCTGCAGTAAATCCATCCAGCTACAAGCAGAACCATGCTATTCCAGGCAGTAATTCAGTTATCACACACCCTGCATCCATATTTACACACCCTGGATGCAGCCACCTCCAAAATGCACCACATATGAGCCCATGAGGCTTTGGAGGGGAACATCTAGATACAACTAGTAACAACTGCCTATCAGCCAGTCATTGTTTTCAGTATTGTTTTTGATTCTTAAATGTGGAAATAAGGTGTCTCTCTGGAGGCAAGTCTAGGCATGTGTGTCAGAAGACCTAAAAAGGAGTATACCCTTTGACTTACCATTTTCCATTTCAAACAATTTTCTCTTTACCTGAGACTCAATTTCTTTACCTGTAAAATGGTAATGTTAAATGGCAATGTCATGCTTACATGATAGATTCTTCATGTGTATAAAACATTGGCACAGGCTTGACGTACCATAAGCATACCAATGAATGTAGCTGCTTTTATTATTAGTAATAGTAATGTTATATTATCATTACCCAAAAGAAATAATTAGGAAGGAGAATAGAGATTTATTTACAAGGGTATGCATCACAGAATTGTTTATAAAGCAAAACAATGGGTGGGAAGATAAACTAACTTTTCCACAATTCACTTAAAATTATAATGGAGGTTAATATTTACTGACATGGAAAAAAGTTCACGATATATTGCTAAATGAAAGAACAGGCTAAAACGAATCCATTGGTGCCATTAGGAATGTAAATGTGGATACATACAAATAGAAGAAGCCATGAGGGCAGCGAGCCAAGTTTTTAAACAATGCTTTCCTTTGGGAGATGTTCAAAAAGAAAAAAATTGCTTAATTGTTTTTAAAACATTTTGCTACAATGAACATGTATTTGTTTTAAGAAGAAGTTGGCATTTGGTATTTTTAGCTGCAAATAGAACTCAGGTGGCTGGTTCATTGCTGCAGCCTGTGTTCGGGTGGAGTCCCACGTGCATGCGGAGAGTGAAGGTTGCTTTATTTCTTAGTCCCTCCTCCCCACTCTTCCCTTCCTTGGCTTGCAGGTGAGGAACAACTGCAGACAGTACTTCCATTCTTCCAAAGCTCTCAAGGCTGTTTATGACCTGGTGACCTGGGCTACCACGCAGCTGGCCGTCTCTTACATAGCAGCACCTTTCGTGATGTTGGCAGTTGAACCAACCATCAGTTTATACAAGTAAGTTGCCATGGCTCTCGTGCGCTGTCTTAGTACATCTGTCTGTTTTCTGTGTTTGACTTAGGCATCGGTTATGTACTGAGATTGAACTAAGGATTTCTAAATGTGACTTCCGTGTGAAAAAGGCCCGCAGAAGATTTCAAAGGAAGTGGCTGTCCCAGAGATACCAATTCCTATGAAGAAGGTGGATGAGAATCCCTTAAGTCATTCAGAATGTCAAGGAGGGGTGCTCAAGCAGTGTGTTCAAGATGGACCTGGGTCCACAATTTAGAGGCTGAATTACTGCCCTTTGCTTTTCTTCCTGGGATTTGAGCTGTGTTGGAGATCCTGCGGTGTTCTCAGGGCAGGATGGAAGCAAGAGCAGGGGCCGGGAGCCGCTGGCGGCTGGGGTGGGCTGATCTGCACACTCTTGCAAGGCGCTGTGTGCTTCCCCGAGGTGGTGGCTCTTCCTGGGGATGTACGTGTGGACTTACGTTCCCAGGTGCACATGGCAGAGGGGAGTATGTAGAATTGAGGGTGGAGAAGGAGGCTCTCATGAGCGACCAGGGACCTGTAGGGAAAGGTTGCCAGGCCCTTACATTCCAACACTTGTGCTCCACACGAACTGCTGACCTATAACTGCTAACTTCTTTGTTTCATGCTTGTGTTTAGTTAGTCATATTTTTCTACTGTTGTGAAATGGTTGAGCACGTGGCCTTGAAAACAGATTGTGTGACCTCACTGTAAAAGGGAGCTAAGAATAGAATCCACTTCAAAGCACTTGTTAGGATTGAATGAGGAGAATGTGTAGAGGACTTGGGCTGGCACCAGTGTACGACCTGTACTCAGAACTAAATTCTATTAGCTAATGGAGAGCATAGCCTTTTCTAGGTTACATTGTGAGCATTGTATGTTTAAACAATTGACTCAGCACTAAACGGTGCAATTGCTGGGGCTCAGGACATGACACCTCACAATGTGATGCCTTGCCATGCTGAATACTTTGAACTAGAGGAGAACCAAAGTCTCTCTGACCAGCCCTACCCAGTCGCTTGCCCTTCTTTCCTTCCCAAAGTGCAGGAAGGGGTTTTCTCTGAAGTCCCCCTGTCTCCCTAAAGTCTGGGTCCTCCAGGGGATTAATTCACAGAAGAAAGACTAGAGTTGATACCACCCTCAGAGCCCAGGCAAACCTTGTCACAGGCCATGGTTTGTTCTTCAGGCCCGTTCACCCCTCTAAAATCAGTTGTTTTTGCTCTAAAATTATACAGCTCCCCCTTCCCTGTCTCCTATGAAGAAGTTATTGAAGCTTCACTTCTGTACATCTGAGGGTATCTTTCTGAAAGAGTTATAGATACCATCTTACAGTGATACATGCCCACCCATGTCTATAACAGCACAACTCAGAACAGTTAAATCTTTCAAGTGCCCTGTAGGCCCATGTGTTGGTTACTTTTTTCTCATTGCTGAGACAAAATACCTGACGCCCAAAATCAAAGAATGGAAGGTTTATTCAGCTCACAGATTGTGGAGGTTTCAGTCCATAATCAGCTGGCTCCAAAGCAGGGTGGTGTGGCAGAGGGGCAACAGGTCAAGGCAGCAGAAGACAGAAAAGTAACAAGAGCAAAAAAGGGAGAGCAAGCCTCTTTTCTCTCTTACGTTGTAATCAGGCTTTCCTCCCATTCCCCAGGGTGTGTGTAACACTCACACCATCTCCCTGCCTTCCTCTTGCGCAGGATGAGTATGTTTACAAAGTGAGGACCCTGGTCCTCTTCTGAGTCATTTAGTTAAACTTCTAGACTTAAAGTGACACAAATAGACTTAAAGTGACCCATTACAGCCCACGAACTGATGAATGAATAAGGAAAATATACACAATGAAGTACTACTCAGCCATAAAGAAAGACAAATTTGATTCATTTGTAGGAAAACAGGTGTACCTTGAGGTCATAATACTAAGTGAAATAAATCAGACATAGAAGATTGAATATCACGTGGCTTCATGTATGTGAGAAACCCCAAATATAAATAATTTAGCAAAATAAAAGCTATATGTTAGGAAATAGTGAAATAGACTTTGTGGGGTTGGGAAGGGGGTCAGGGGAAGTAATAATGATTAAGATGTGATATGTACATGTTCCCCATCCCCAAGGGTAATGTAATTATTAGGCATCACAAACATATACTAACTTTTAAAAAAAGAACAGTAATAAGCTTCAACCATCTGCCCTTCTTTGAGTTTTGGACTTTACATGACTCCATGCATATAATGAATTTGTATGCCTTTTCTCCAGTTAGTCTGCCCATTGTCCATTTGTTTCAGCAGACACACACCTACACAAGCGTATCTTATTTGTAAGCTGAGAATATTCTAGTTGGTGGACTGGTCAGGAATGGATTGGAGAAACTTTACTACGCAGCATATAGGATGGAGGTGCAGCCTCCATCCTGTGTCATTTTGGCCCTCAAACTCCACCTCCACTCCCATTTGGTCTGTGCCCTTAAGCCAGCCTTTGGCCTGCCTTGTCGTCTGCATTTTAACACCTGAAGAAGCAGCCTTCAGTCCTTTCAGCTGTCTGCCTGGGCTGTCCACATTGTTGCCATAGGTGCTAATTGTGTTTGTAGCCCTCTGGTTATAAAGTTTTCTAGGTTTTGAGTTGTCTGCTTCTACCGTGGTTTCTCCTTATAAACCCTGGTATTCTAACCACATGATGTTACTGCATGTGAGATTTTTTTCAGGAATGTATTGTATTTACCACGTTAATGCAAAACACTTGTGTTCAATTTAGTATCGTTTAATACCTAGAGTATGCTGGGCACTGTGCTAGAAGCTGGAGAAATATTGTCAAGCAAATATAAAAACCCTTCCTGCTCCCATGGAGATGGTAACCTGCTGCAAAAGACAGGCAATAATCGACACATTTATACGGCACACCAAGACTGTGCTCTGAATGAGTGGTACAGATCTTTACAAGTGCAGCTAACAGGAATCTGACTCATCCTGGGAAGAAGTGGCATTTGAGCTCGGTCCTGAGGCTGCACCGTGGCAGTGAAGCAGGTGTGGTGTGTGGGAGGGCAGTGGGTAAGCAGGCCTTTGAACGTAGAACCCATGACGGAGGCTGGTGGGCTGAAGAGAGAGTGGGTATCCTTCTCCCCACTTGTCACGTGGGGAAGGCAAGTTCTGAGAGGGTGACTACAACTCCCACAGCAAGTAAGTGCTAGACCTGACTTTGAGACTCACAGTTGTTTTAACGGCAAGATTAGTAAAGCAGTTACTAAAAATTTCTTTAGAAGAAGCTATTTTGGAAGCAAATTACTGCTTGCAGATCAGACTAAGTTAAATACATGTTTGTACTAACATGCATTTAACCAACTAAAGTATATACTAATTCCTATACTTAGGTAGGGAATCCAGGGCAAAATCCAATTGTTATGAAGCCATTTTCTACTTCTTTTTAGAAGGAATCTAAAATAATTTTGCAAAACACCTTTGTTCAAGATGAAACAAAATTCTTTTGCCCATGTGGTCCACTAGAGATGATTTAACCTAATGTTATCTTGTATGAATATTTAAATATTGGTATGCATGTAACAGAAGTTTAGTATTGACATCAGCTCTGTCCCATAGAAGACTCTAGAATGACTGAACTATTCTTAATCTGTGCATTAGAAATCCCATGCATTAGCCATCAGCGTATGTGGGCATGATATACAGTCAGTGAGACTGAAGAACTGAATTTTCAATTTCATTTTAATTAACTTTTCTAACTGCCACGTGTTGCTGCCCACAGCCTTTATGGATTGATGGCACCTTGTAATATGTTTGCAGAACCTCTTAAGAGAACTGCTGAATCTGTTAGCTTGGCCTTTAGTACAGTAACCTAATTTTGTTCTAGGATTATTCCTGAGTCGGGGCTGCACGTTACAGCACTTACCTGTAAATCCATTTCCCAGTGTATCTTCTGCCACTTAAAATTTGAATCCCTAGTGCACTTCCTTTTTATGTCTGGTCTGTTCAGAGCATCTTCAAACCTGAGCTTTAAATTTCTCAGCGTTTTTCCTTTAAATTGTCAGTGAGCCCCAAATTGCACACACACTGAAATGTGTTATGAAAGATACATCTTTGCGATCATTTTGAAAAGCCAAATTCTTATACTGTAATTTGCCTTTAACTAGAGAATGCATTCTTAAGTTCAGTGTTAGGATTTGTGTGGAAACTTCTGTAAGAGCAGATTCCTTGAGAGCACAAACTGTGCCTTCCTCATCTCTGCATCTGGAACACCTAGGTCAGTGCCTAGGATATTCAGTAAGGGTTGTACTTGTGTTGAGTTTTTTCATAATAGAAAGAGTCACGGTAATTTTAGAGAAATAAGGAATGTCAGAATAGGTTACTAAATCTCAGTATGGGATTCAAACTCGTTTCCCTTGCTTATTGAAGTATTTGGAATTTATCTAACATAATTGCTGTTATGTAGATTAGGCCACTTATAAAAGGTAAGTCAGAACAGAAGGACCAAGTATGCCAAGTATGTAGTGTAGACTTTGAACGCTGTAGTTAACCAATGTAGAGTTGCCTTTGAGGGTCCCAGTTCATACCAGTTCAACCAGAGCATTTCACTGGAGAGCCCTATTTCACACTCAGTAATGTCCTTTGGGCAGTAAATTAGGTGGTCAGTTACTATAATTTTTCACCACTTTGCTATTTTAATGACATTACCCATGCACAGATGACCCTGTGTGTCCATGTGTAGGTTCTGCAGCCACAGGTTGAAAATATTTGGAAAAATACTGTGTTTTTATTGAACATATACAGACTTCTTTCCTTGTCATTATTCCCTAACCCATATAGGTTATAGAATTTTCACACTAACTGCAGTGTACACTATTTGGTATTATAAGTAACCTTGAGATGATTTAAAGTATATGAGAGGATGTATGTAGGCACCATGTAAATACTATACCGAGACTTGAGCATTTACAGGTTTTGGTGTCTGCTGAGGTCCTGGAACCAATTCCCTGTGAATACTGAAGGCACACTGCACTTGTTTTGTTTTAATACCACAAAGGAAGGGAGAGAGGCTTATGTCTTCTGTGAGAAGCCAGTTTAATGCTGTGTGTGTGTGTGTGTGTGTGTGTGTGCGTGTGTGCATGTGTGCATGCTGGAGAGTGAACCCAGGGCCTCATGCATGTTAGGCAAGCACTGTACCGCTGAGCTACCTATGCAGCACTTTGCTTTGTACATTGTAAGCAATACATTTTTAGTGAAAGAAAAAGTGAATCAAGATATATTAGTGCTCTTGACTGTATGTAGGCCTTTTTAGGGAGTCATTCCTTTTGCTAAAGGCTTGAGCCTTTTAGGGCATATGTGAATTATCTGGTTCTGTGAGTCGTGTACCTTACACTACAGAAGCTGAGGAATGATACATAAATCAGTTGTGACTCCCCCTTCTTTTACCATTATTTTCCATTAACCTTAAGAAAGCATTAGAGAAAGTGTAAGTTCAGCCTTTCCAAATGAATCTAGAACAGCTATGCTGATGCAAGTGCTTTCTAGTTCCATGCATTTATTCTTGTACTACGCCCAATATTTATTGGATTTTACATTGTGAGCACTCTGCTGAATACTATGCTTTTGCAATAAAAGTCAACAAAGCTCAAAAGCGAAACTTGTTTCTAGTTAGTTTGCATGAAACTTATTTTTAGGGTTATGGATTATGTTCTCACAGTCTGGATCCTTCTGTTTCAGAAAACACACAGGAAGAAGAACTCTTTATACTTAGGAAGAATGTATGGGACAAAGTGTTTGTTATATTTCTGTGTAGAGGACAGACTATTGGATTTGAATATGATCTTGGCCATCCTAGGTTTTGAATATTGAGGATTCTGGCACTTATGGAGTTAGTTTTCTTAGCCTGCTTATTATGAAAGTGGGATAATACTATGTCTATCTGCAGCTGAGCAGTTTGGTTTGTTTTGCTCACCTTTGTGATTTCAGTCCATCCCTGGTCTGCTCACCTACAAATCTGTGGAGGAAATCAAGGCAAGCCTGAGAGAGACTCCTTTCCGCTGCTGAAAGCAGTACCTTCTCTTCTACTCCTGGAGGTGACGCGATCATATGGTGTTTCCCACTGAAGTCCTTCTTCAAAATGTAATTTTCATTTGTTTTTATTCCCAGGTCCATGTACTTTTACCTACATATCCTAAGTCTCCTGGTCATACTTTTTCTGCCAATCAAACCACAAGCCTATGCATCAAGGCAGCCTCGGACTCTGAATTCTGTTCATAAGAAGAAAATAGATTGATACCTCGGAGATGAGCTGAATGAGTGAAATTGCAAAACATTGGAAAGAGGAGATGAAAAAGCTCAAGGGTTCTCTAGTTCTTTAGAGGCGATGTTTACACACATCTTTTCTTTTTGAATTGCAGGGAGTATTTTTATAAAGCCTTTATGCATAGTTAAATCAGCCTTGTCAGCTTCATTGTCTTAATATTTTATAGGACTTCTCAGTGGTGTGGAGATTGGAAGAATGTACCAGAGCTTCAGACACAGTCCATTTGGGGCCACTGGGTCTCTGTTTTTCTGGCATGATTTCTAGCTACTGACATCTGGATGCTGGGAATCCAGGCGTTGACTCCAAACTTAGAGTTAGAAGAGTTAGAAGGTGATTGCTTAGGAAAATTTATCATGGCTTTCTTCGATTAGAATATCCCCACACATGGTTGTTCCTCAGAAAGGTCCAAACTCTTTACATGATATGTGACATTATGGACAAAATAACCACACTCAGAAGACCCCAGAGGAGGAGACGGATCACGGAGGGAGGTTTTCAGGGTACGGAAAGCTCTGTGAGCTAGGAAGACTAACCTGAACACTTGAATGGACTGGTGTGCCTGCAGCTAGGCTGCACTTTTTTTTTTTTTTGAAGGAATGTGACCCTTTTTCTTCTGAACTGAGCCAAGATGAAAATGAGAAAGGCTCCCATCGGTGTATGAGGGAGCCTCCCGTTTCCATTTCCTGTGCACCTGCTTCCATTGCCTCGCGCAGAAATGGCCTGAGAAGACGCCCAGATATTCCCACCGTCAAAGGCAGAAGAATGCCTTTCACAGAAACAAAAAGTGAAAGTTAGGTAGAAGTTTGGTGAGAAGCAGCAGATGTTCCTCTTTTCTCCCTCCATTTCATGCGGGTGTTAATGATCATGGCCATGATGTGTACACGGGCTGATTTTCATTTCCCCAGTTTCGTAACCGATTAAACCCAGCTTGGCTTTGTTTTTGCTGCATCATCATATTGGAAACAGAAACAGAAAGTTTTCTGTCTTTGTTATGAACGTACTGTGGCTCCTTTGAGCAGCTTCTATTGGGGGAATAGTCTGTGTGGAAGAAGGAAATATATTAAACGTGGAAAATAATAATGATAATATTGAATATATGCTGCAGTGATGTGCCTTCAATCAAACAACTTGGGAGGAGAAAATTTGTTCAGAGCAGATGGTAAAATGTTTTTCACTGAATAAATGGTATGTTTCTATATAAAAGATATGTTTCTTAATGGAAGAGTTGCTTTTTTGTGTCAAGAAGCTTAATATATAGAGTGTGTGTAACAAATGTGCACAAACTTAAAGTCTTACTTGCCTGTAATTTAAACAGTATAACATGCTCAGTTTTTACTGTATGTGTCAGATGTGAAAGGTTTTTTATTTATTTATTTTTTGGTATGATTTCTAATCTTTAGCACCAGCTTTATAGGTGGAATTTTTTTCCTCTGGAAAAGGAACTGAGAATTAGAAATTTACCCCTTGCTTGAGGGTCACAGAGGTATGGTGGAGCCACCTGTAGGTGCTTTTCTTGTGACAGTAGAATGGGAAAGTGATGCAGTTGGTCTGTTTTTTTTTTTAACTATGGATGGCACCCAAGGGCTTTGTACTGAGCTACATTCCCAGCTCCTCCTCCTTTTATTTTGAGATTTTATCTTGACAGATTGCTCACTGGGAACTCAAACTTGTGATCCTCCTGCCTCAGCCTCCCAGCGTACTGGGATTACAGGTGTGTAATATCACACCCACTTGTCCTTGTCCTTTTAAAGTACTTATCCAGTCTTTCTGCTGGGAGTGAGTCTAGTCCTTCCTCCCTCTCTTTCTGGAGGGATTGGTTCCAAGACCGCTTTGCCAGAGCAAAGTCTGGGGATACTCAAGTGTCTTGTATAAAATGGCACAGTATTTGCGTGTAACTATGGGCCTCTTCCTAAGTCCTTTAAATCATTTTAGGTGACTTATAACAGCTAATACAATACATTCTGTATACACAGTTTTTATATTAGAGAATAATAACAAAAGGAAAACTGCAATACAGACAGTTCCTCTCATGGATTTTCAGTTGGTGGAAGCTGGTGGGCAGGAAGTTAATGTGAGTGGAAACTGGCACAAAGTGGAAGCTGGCAGGAAGCGGAAGGTGGTGGGAAGTGGAAGAGGAAATGAAACCCTGGGGGCAGCGGATGATGGGTTGTACTTGACCTTTAATTCTTGTGGTGGGTACACAATCAAAAAATGGGCAAGCGAAATGCATAGACACTTCACAGAAGAAGTACACATGGACAATAAATACACAAAGAAATGCTCGACATGGCTGGCCATTAGGGAAATACAATTTTTTTTTTTTTTTGGTGGTACCAGGAATTGAACTCAAGACCTCACGCTTGCCAGGCAGGTGCTCATGCCACTGAACTATATCCCCAGCGGTGAAATGCAAATGAAAACAACACTGAGGTTCCATCTTATCCCAGAAAGAATGGTCAAAATCAGGAAGTCAAATAATAACAAATGCTGGCAGGGCTGGTGGCAGGGAGGAAGCTATCTACACTGGTGGGAGAGATGTAAATGTCTACAACCATCATGGAAATGAGTATGGAGCTATCTCAAATACTAGAACTAGAAGTTCCATTTGACCCAGCTACTCCTCATCTAGGAATCTTCCTGAAAGAGTTAAAGACAACCTATTGTGGTGATGCATTCACAGCCATGTTTATAGTAGCACAATTAATAATAGTTCAGTCTTGGAAGCAGCCTGTGTGTCCATCAATAGCTGAATGAAGAAAATATGGTGTTTACACTAACCTGCCAAAAAGGATAAACTAGAGTCATTCGTAGGAAAGTGGGTGTTCCTTGTGACCATAACATTAAATGAAATAAATCAGACACATGTTTAAATATTGCATGGTTTCTTTTATAGTATATGAGGACCCAAGTTATAAATAAAGGGCAAAATAAAAGCGATAATAGGAAGTAAGAGATAGATCTTTCTTAGCTGGGAAGGGGATCTAGATGGAGGGAAGAGGGATGAAGGGGAAGGAAATGGATGAGAAAAGGAATTCAGATGTGTAGTGTCCGTGTACCAGCTCCACAGAGGAATGGAAACACTGTGTACTGCAAACATGTACCTAAAACAAGTGCGTGTGAGCCAGCACATGACACACTCCTGTTTAACTGGGAAGTCCAGGGCAGCCCTACCAGGCAGCTCCCTGAGGAGTTTTAGTTATAAGGAGAGGGTACGTAGGCATTTAAAATCTGTCAGCCTCTCTAACAGGAGCACTTGGACTTCAAGATAAGACAGATGGACATCCTGCACCCTGGTGAAAGTGGTGAATATCATCACTGGCCTGAAGTGTGTATAATAACCCATACTCCATTGAAGTCTTTAAACTTGTAATACGATTTATTATCAGATATCGCTGAATTTAAGTACCTTGATTTCTGAGAAAACTTCGATGCTGAGGGAAGTGATCGCTAGGATGGCCAGTTTCTTAAGGTCAGGCTTTCTTCAGTGTTAACAAGACAACACAGAGAAGAGTATCCTTCCTTCCTGAGAACCATTTAACCACAGAAAATGTTTCAATTAAGATCGCAGTTTAAGCTGAAGGTTGGGACTGTTTTCATTATCTGAGAACGCTGAGTTGTCTTAAATATGATGTGCATTTAGTAAAGATGTGTTGGATTATACATTTTTCAGTTTTGAAAAGAAATCATTCTTTAACGCAAAGCTGAAATGCAGTGGGACCTCAGTTCATAGACTTAATTCGTTCCACGATTCTGGAAAAGGTGGCCGCGTTCACGTTCGTGTCAGGAAGATGGTGCGGGCACGCTGGTCAGCTGGTGCAGAGTTTGCACACAAAACCAAAATTTTGCCAAATGCTTCTGTTTGCAAACCAAATTGTTAGCAAAAAAGTATTCCTGAGCTGCGGTACCTCCGTGTTCTTAGTGCTTTTTAATATTAGTTTTAATGTTACCATAAAGAACAGTGTTATTAGTCAGTAGTTGCAAAGAGCAGTACATAATTCAGCCCGGTAGTTTGGTTAAGACAGAAAGCGCCGGGAGGAGGAAATGGACAAGAACAGAAGAGGTAGCAATGGCTCCGTGGAGCTGGTGGCCGTGAGCCCTGCGTTGCTCTGCAGTCCCTGGACAGCAAGTGGGTGGTCCTCCCAGACCATCTTTCTCATGGACCCACACAGGAAGCTTTAAAAATTGATTGCTACCCTGGTTCTCTGGGGACTGCATCTTTTTTCTTCTCTTGTCTCCAGCACTTGGCATAGTGCCTGTCATATAATGAAGATTTAGTGAGTGTTTGTTGAATGAATGAGGGATTGAATGAATTAGTTTAATGCCTCGTTGCACTTGACAGTTTTGATTGAAGCACTTTTGCACTGGGAAACATTGTTTCTGCTTTTCAGAATTGGTTTATGAAATAGAGCCTTATGTTTTCAGGGAATTCTGGAAGCACATTATGTGAAATAATCACTCAGCCAGTTTACATGGTCTGCACCCCTTTGATCCATCTATCTATCCATCCATAACAACATGCATTGCTTTATCAAATGTATTATATCTGGTGTGGACCTGGCACTTTGCTAGGTACTGCAAATAAAAGGTGTGGAAGACATTTTTTATCCTAGACAAGCTCAGGGCTGGGGATGTAGCTCAGCGGCATAAGCACTTGCCTGGCAATCCTGAGGTCATGAGTTCGATTCCCGGTACCAAAAAAGAAAGAATGGACAAGCTCACAATGAGACCAGAAAGATGTGACCTCTAGCCATGTGCTGTGGGATCATCCAAGAGAAACCCAGAATATAGAAGTCAGAAAGTGACTGATTACCTTATCCTTGTTTGTCTGCAAGTATAGAGTAGCTCTTCCAGGGTGCTTAAAGGTTATGTAGAACAGCAGCAAACTGCTCTGCAGCCTTTTGTCCAGGTGAAGTTAAGCTTGTCTTTGTCCTGAAATTGTGTGTTCACCTTGAACATGCCAGCACCAGAAAATGCAGGAGTAGCGGAATAGCAGTGTGTGCTTTTATGGTTGCCCATAGAGGTAATTTCCTGACTCAGCTAATGACTTCATGAGCCCATGAGTAAAGATATTATCTTAGAAGAGGCCCAGCCCACATGAGCTCTCTTAACTCCCTAATCTTATCTAAGGTGACCTACTATAGGTTAAGAGGAAAAAAAACAAACTAGTGTTCATTGATAATGACTTTCACTTGTGTCACCTAGTAGAGTTCTATGAACTGGGCGGTATTCTCTTTTTACAGATGTGGACGCCAAGTCCTGGCAGCTGTAAGTAACAGGTGTCAAAAGCCAAAATTACAACAAATTTAATTGTAGATTTAGTTGGCTTTTATTTTTGATTCACTAATTCAAGCAGCTCTATGTGCTGAAATTCCTAGAATGAAATTCTAGGTAGAATTCGAATGAAAGGTACCCGGGGCAGCGGCAGACAGTGGATTTACAATGTGGGAACAAGGAAACAAGGGTAGAAAAAACAGTTGACTGGGCAACATCAGGTTATTTCACATCATTTATTATAAGGGTTAACAGTGAGGAAATTTCCCTATTTTAGTAAATCAAGTAGAGTGGAATTTCCTGTTTTGAGGGAAGATGGGTCTGTTTCGGAGATTTACCTGCTTCTGTAGCATGAGTGATTGAATTCTGGTTTGGTCTGGTTTACCGGGGGCTAGCACAAGAGCGCAAGTCCACAACAGTGGCCTCCCATGAACATTAATGCAAATCCTTGCCCAAGGTAGCCCATCTAGTTAGTGACGGAGCTGCAGTTTGCATCCTGGTGTGGTGGACTCCAAAGCCCCTTTTGCCCCTTGTTGCAGAAGCATATTTGTTTTCAGAGAAGAAAAGAGTGAGCGCTGAACGTGACTCTAGCACTTACCTGCTTCAGTGTTTTCCAAGTGCAGACTGGCTGACCCTCCTCCAGGGAGCTTGCTAAACATGCAAGGAGTTGGAAAACAGATTTGCTGTTAAAAACAAAAACTCTGACCATCCCTACTGCCATCGTCCAAGGGGAGCGCTAGAATTCATGTCAGGGTAGGGTAATGGATGGGTAACTGTTACTTCCCTTGAACTTGTTAGAATAAGGCTAAGAAACAGGAGGGTAGAAGCCAAGCAGCATTGTTCATATTAAAGAAAAGGCATTTTATTTTATTTTATTTTATTTTATTTTTTTTTTTTTTTGTTTTTCTCCGGTACCGGGAACTGAACTCACG